AATGGAGAGGCCAGTGAGGAGGCATCTAGGCCACCAGGTGGGAGATGGGCTGCCTATGACAGGCTGGAAGTCTGAGGAGATGAAACTGAGAAGCCCCTGGATCTGTTTTGAAGGTGGAGCCTATAAGGTCAGGTTTTGCTGATGGATTACATATGAAAGGTGAGAGAAAAGGAAGAGATAAAGACAGTTCCAAAGTTTTTTAACCTGAAAGGGAGTGAAGGAGGTACTGTTTCCTGGGGTGGGAGACTGGGCCAGGTGCAGCTGTCCAGGAGTGGCTGACATGAAGAAAGCAAGGGAAAGAAGAGAGGTCATGGGAGGTCGGCATGGCCCATTCTGTTTCATGAATGCAATTATCTTTTCATATTTTTCTGAGGACGTAAATTACTGTTTTCCTCCAAGAAAGTTTTCTTCTGTTTCCTACATTGACCGTGTGTCTGGGTTTTTAGAATCCATTTGTCTATTTTGGTCTCTTTTATGTTGGCAGCTTTCCTCAAATGTCCAGTCATCCCTGGCTGTTGGGGCATATTTAGGAATGGGGTGCCCTGGCCTGGTAGCTCACTTGGTTAGAGAGTCATCCTGATACTCCAAGGTTGCAGGTTCGATCCTCGGTCAGGGCACATACAAGGAACCACCAATGAATGCATAAATAAGTGGAACGACAAATCGATGTCTGTCTGTCTGTCTGTCTCTCAAGTCAATGAATGGGCTGTGGACCTTACTGCTTCCTGTAGGATTCCCAAATATCTGTACCCAGAGGCCTTTGGTGCCTCTCGTTTCTCCATTCTCCTGCTAGGGGTGGGATGGGACACTGGCTCCTGTGGGTTAGGACCTGAGGCAGGGAAGGGCCTGGGCTTTTACTGCTCACAAGCTCCATGACTTCATGCTCAGGCCAATGTCTCTGAGTCCAGTGTGTCTGCGGCTCAAATTCTACAGAGACTAAACCCCTGGCATCGTGTGGAGGGGAAGGAGGTATCTCCCAGCATTACAAGATTGGAGAGGGGGCCAGGGGCTCTGAATTTTAAACAGCCCCCCTGCGTGCACCTCTGAGCCTCACTCCCACCTCTGCTGTTTCCACCGCCTGCGTGTTCTGCGCCTTTCAAGGGTGCTAGGGGGTGATCTGGCTTGCTGCTCACCGAGGCTCCTTCCGTGAGTGCTTGGGTTGGTACTCTCTGCTCCCCTAAGTCAGTAATGCCCCAGCCACTTTCCATGTTCTAAAGATGTGTTGAAATTTCTCATCTGCTGACATCTCTCCTCTTTATTCTTGTGGGTTTTAAATATTTTATTGACATTCTTATACTTAGTCACAAATTTACCATTTGGGGCACTCTTCATTTCTTTGTAGAGATCTAAGTTTCCATCTGGTATCATTTCCCTTCCACCTGAATTACTTACTGTCTTTTTTTTAATTCTCACCCGAGGATATTTTTTCCATTGCTTTTCAGAGAGAGCAGAAGGGAGGAAGGGGGAGAGAGAAACATTGATGTGAGAGAGACACACCCCAACCTGCACTCACCCTCCTGCACTCACCCCAACCAGGCCGGGGTCGAGCCGGCAACCAAGGTACATGTCCCTGATGGGAATCGAACCTGAGACCCTTCAGTCCATAGGCAGACCCTCTATCCACTGAGCCAAACCGGCTAAGGCTGAATTACTTTCTTTAACATTTCTTGAAGGTCTTTTGGTGACAGATTCTCTTAGCTTTTGTCTATGAAATTCTTTATTTCCCCTTTATTTAAAAAATTTTTATTTTAAAGAGAGGAAGGGGGGGCAAAGGGGAAGAGAGAGAGAGACAGAGAAACATCGATTTGTTCTTCCACTTATTTATGCATTCATTGGTTTATTCTTATATGTGCCCTGACTGGGATCGAACCCGCAACCTTGGAGAATCAGGATGACTCTCGAACTAACTGAGCTACCCGGCTAGGGCTGCCCTTTATTTTTGAAGGATATATATTTTTTCACATGATATAGATCTCTAGTTTGACATTTTTTCCCTAGCACCTTAAAGATTTCCTGCTATTGTCTTCCAGCTCGAATGGTTTCTGATGAGAAGTATGTAATGTTTCCTGTGTTTGTTCTTCCATACATAGTGAGTCTTGTTTTTCAAAATGCTTTTAAGATTTCCGTTTTATCACCAGTTTTCAGCATTTGATTTTTAAAAATATATATATTTATTTATTTCAGAGAGAGGAAGGCAGAGAGAGAGACATAGAAACATCAATGATGAGAGAGTCATTGATCAGCTGCCTCCTGCACACCCCTGACTGGGGATCGAGCCCGCAACCTGGGCATGTGCCCTGACCAGGAATCGAACCTTGATCTCCTGGATCCTAGGTCGATGCTCAACCATTGAGCTCCACCAGACAGGCAAGCAGTTGATCTTGATGGACCCAACCAACTGAGCCCCACTGGCCAGGGTAGCTGCTATTTCTTTAAATTTGTCTTATTTACCCTATTTCTTTATCCTATCCTCTGGGACTCCAACTACACATATGTTAGAACGCCTCGTAGTGTCTCACAGATTGCTAAGGCTCTTTGAATGTTTTTCAGTACTTTTTTCCTCCTCTTTGATTCAGTTTGTATTACTCTATTGCTGTGTCTTCAGGTATACTGCTTTTTTCATTCTGTAGTGTCTAATCAGTTAATTTTATCCAGTGAAATTTTCATTTCAGATATTCTACTTGTTATCTCCCATTTCCTTGCCCATGAATGTTGTATTCATGTTTTTCTTTAAATTCTTGAATATAGCCCAGCCGGCATGGCTCAGTGGTTGAGCATCGACCTATGAACCAGGAGATCAGGGTTTGATTCCCGGTCAGGGCACATGCCTGGGTTGTGGCTCCATCCCCAGTGGGGATGTTCAGGAGGAAGCCAATCAATGACTCTCTCTCATCATTGATGTTTCTCTCTCTTTCCCTCTCTCTGAAATCAATAAAAATATATTTAAAAAAAATTCTTGAGCATAACGAGTAATTCATTATCTTATTATTTCTGAATGTGTTTCTATTAAATGATTTTTCTCTTAACTATGGGTCATCTTTTCCTACTTCCTTGCATGTCTAGTAATTTTTAACTGGATGTTGGACATCATAAATATTGTGATGTTAGGCATCTGGAGTTTGTTGTCTTCCTGTTAGGCATCCTTCTGGTAAACTAAGTTAAGTTATTTGCAAATCAGTTAGATCCTTTTGAACTTATTTTTTAATCTTTATTTGAATGGATGCACCTTTTCTGTAGGGATAGTTTAGCACTACTACGAAGGCATAACCCTTCTTGGGTCTCCCTCCCTGGGTAAACAACAGGGACTCTCTAGCAGGTTGGAGCTTGAGTGTCTCCCTGCCCTGGGTGAGCTCTGAGAATTTACCAACTTATTGTTCCTTTTCTGTCTGGTCTTGTTGAGTTTTGCACTCTACACATATGAAGTATAGTATTCAGCAAAGACTCAAAGGGACCCCATGCAGATTTCTAAAGCTCTTTTGTTGCATAGCGTACTCCTTCCTGGAACTCTGCCCTGCAACTGCTAGCTACATGGGCCTCCCCGAACCCCTGTCTCTGTCTCCTCAATTCCTGAGTGAGATTGCCATGCTCTGCTGGGGATTCCCTTCCCTGAATTGCAGCCTGGAATATTTCTCCAGGTAGAAATCCAGGAAACTTAGGGCTTACCTTGTATCTCTTACTTCAGGGGTCACTGTTCTTGTCGTCTGATGTCTGAACACAGTTATTTCATGTATTTTGAAGAAATAGTTTTCTCTGTTTATAGTGGGAGGGTAACTTCAGTTACCTCATCATGGCCATAGAATAAGCCTTTTACTGGCATTTTAATCAAGTTTTGGGAAGGAGAGGAGGAGTTACATGCATGTGGTCAGTTCACTGTCTTTTGTTGTTGTTATTGTTTGTTTTTTGTCAGAAAGGGAGGAAAGGAGGGAGAGAGAGAGAGAGAGAGAACATTGATGTGAAAGAGACACATCGATTGGTTGCCTCCCATATGCTTCCCGACAGGACCGAACCCGAAACCTAGGTATGTGCCCTGACTGGGAATCGAACCCAAGACCTCCCTAGTGCTTCAACCAACTGAGCCACACTGGGCAGGGACAGTTCAGTTCACTGTATTTAACTAAAAGTCCCAGAATCCTGAAATATAAGTATGTTTAACAAACACATGCTTTTATCACCCAATAAAAATCTCATGCAGTGTAATTGTACTAGTCACAAAACAATAATAAGATTTATAAAAATGTTAATACATAGTGTCCCACAGGCACAGGACATGGATTTGAAGTTGTACCAGGAACATATTCTTTTTAAAATATATATATATATCTTTATTGATTTCAGAGAGAGGAAAGGAGAGAGAGAGAGAGAGATAGAAACATCAATGATGAGTCATTGATCGGCTGCCTCCTGCACGCCCCCTACTGGGGATGGAGCCCGCAACCCGGGCATGTGCCCTGACCGGGAATTGAACCCCGATCGCCTGGATCCTAGGTCGGTGCTCACATTACAGGAGTGAAAGAATATGTTCCTGCCCGGCCGGGTGTGGCTCAGCGGTTGAGCATCAACCTAGGATCCAGGAGATCTGTTTGATTCCCGGTTTCAGTCAGTGATGATGATCTAAATTGGTGGCCCTTCCCGAGGTGATCTTGGACCCCCAGGATGTGTCCTGTCTCAGCTGCCCTCCTTGGCCAGCGCCTCTCTAGACCACCTGTCTGGCCCAGGCTTACTCTTCAGAGGCAGCTCCCTGGGTCGTGGAAGAGCAGACCTCGTCAGGGGACCTAGGTGGGCAGGAAAGGAGGAAGGCCTCCCCTTCTCAGTTACTTCCCGCCCTGACCTACAAGCCCCTTTCCACTCACCTGACCCCAGCTCATCGCGTCTGTCTTTTCCACTGCTCTGAGAGATGCGCAAGGCAGGGCAGCAAGGTGGCTGCTGACTGTTTAGAGGCCACTGGGCTCAGATGGGCTGCTTCAAAAATGACCAGGGCTGTGTCTTCACTCCTCCTCCAGGTGGACATCGAGCAACTGGATCCCCGTGGGCGGACTCCCCTGCACCTGGCCACCACGCTGGGGCACCTTGAGTGTGCCCGTGTGCTCCTGGCACATGGTGCAGATGTGGGCAGGGAGAATCGCAGCGGCTGGACAGGTGGGCACCCCTGCTCACCCCAGCCCCACAGCCAGGGTTTCCCCGGCATCATATCCTCACCTGCCCTGTGACATTGCCTCCCCCTCCCCCAGTGCTCCAGGAGGCTGTGAGCACCCGGGACCTGGAGCTGGTACAGCTGGTGCTAAGGTACCGGGACTACCAGCGGGTGGTGAAGCGGCTGGCAGGCATCCCCGTGCTCCTGGAGAAGCTGCGCAAGGTGAGGGCCAGCCTCCCCACCTCCCCGCTGTAGCCCTGAACCCTGTCTGTAGCTCAGACTTAGCCACTCTCCTGTCATCCTCCAGGCCCAGGACTTCTACGTGGAGATGAAATGGGAATTCACTAGCTGGGGTAAGGGGCTGATGCACTTCTCTCTGAACCTCAGGGCTTTTGCACTTGCTGCTACCCCGCCTAGAGCACTCTTCCCATAGCTCTTACTGTCTCCTCATCTTTTAGTTCTCAGCTCAGTCCCACCAGCTAGGCCTTTACACACTGCCTCAGACACTGTCTCAATTCCATTATTATTATTTCCTGTTCTTTGTAATGATTTGCTCACTCGTTTGTTACCTGTCACTCCTTGCTTGAAGGTAAACTCCAAGAGGGCAGGGGTCCTATCTTGCTCAGTGTTGTATCCCCAGTGACTGGAATAGTGCCTGGCACACAGTAGGCGTTTAATAAATATTTGTTGGAAGATTGGGTGAAAGATCGAGTGAAGGAATTAACAGATAGTAGATATTAGGGACTTGGCGGTAGCTGAGACATGCCTGTCCCTGACCTCAGTTGCTCATGTCTGAGTGACTGTGGTCTATGTTTGTATGGGGGAAAGTTGGGGAAGCGGTTTACCTCCTATCAGTTCCCTTATCCTTTCCTGGCCACACCCCTGACCCCCATGCCTGAGGTGGCCCAGGTTGGGTGGATCAGGCAAATTGAAGCCACCTCTGACCTTCCCTTTCACCTAGTGCCCCTGGTGTCCAAGATCTGCCCTAGTGACACCTACAAAGTGTGGAAGAGTGGGCAGAACTTGCGGGTAGACACCACACTGCTCGGCTTTGACCATATGACTTGGCAGCGAGGGAACCGCAGCTTCGTCTTCAGGGGCCAAGGTAAGGCAGGTGGGAGGTGGGGCAGGTGGGGAGGCTGCAGACAGCTCCGTGCCACCCCTGACCCTGTGCTGTTTCATGGTTGCAGATACAAGTGCCGTGGTCATGGAGATTGACCATGACCGCCGGGTAGTGTACACGGAGACTCTGGCGCTGGCCGGGCAGGACCGTGAGCTGCTGCTGGCTGCTGCTCAGCCCACCGAGGAGCAGGTGCTGAGCCGGCTCACTGCGCCTGTTGTCACCACGCAGCTTGACACCAAGAATATCTCCTTTGAGAGGTGAGTGGCATGGCCTTGGTGGCCTGGAGCCAGCCTGGTGGGGTGCCTGCTCACCTGGACTACTCTGCTTCCTCAGGAACAAGACGGGCATCCTGGGCTGGCGCAGTGAGAAGACCGAAGTGGTGAATGGGTACGAGGCCAAGGTGAGGCCATAGCTGCCTGGTGCCAGACCCCAGCACACTCGCCTTCAGGGAGCTGGGCCGGGGTTTCCTGAACACCTCTCTCAGCCTCGGAGCTGCAGAGGCCATGCCGCATTGAGCGACGGGCCCTAGACTAAGAGGCAACTGATGCGAATGCCCAGAGTTCATTGAGCAGTTATGATATTCATGTTCAAGGCACTGTTCTGACATTTTATATGTGTGTATATACACACACACACACATATATGTGTGTATATATATCACAGACATACTCACACGCGTGCTCCTTTAATCCTCATAATGACCCTTTTGGGTTGGTGCTACAACTCTATGAAGTAGGATATCGGCCTATTTTATGAGGGGAAATGGAGGCTTGGGGTAGTTAAGTGACCTGTACAAGGTTGCACATCTGTAAGTGACAGCTGAGGTGCAGACCCTGGCTGCCTAACCCCAATGCCAGGCCTTACACCCTTAAAAAGACTGTCGATCACTCTGGGACCCCCACATCACCCACCAGTGCCACTGGGCGCCACCACTGAATGCAGGGTCTAACAGAGGCTGCAGGCTTTGTGTTTCCCTCCTGGAAGCCTTCCTTGGTTCTGTAGGCTGGGTCAAAGTCTGCGTTTTATTCCCACAGCCCTGTGCTCCCCACACCAAGGCGTGTGTCTGTCACACTGTTTTATAACTGTCCATTTTCTTGTCTCTTCAACTTAATTGTGAGCCTCAAGAGGGCAGGGGCCATGTCTGGCTGTGCTTGTTCACCTCTATATCCCTGCTGCCTGCCTCAGTGCCTAGCACAAAAAGACTCCTCACAAAATGTTTGTTGAATGATAAGAGAATGAGTGAATGACTTCATAGATTTACTTGCTCAAAGGCCTGGAGATAGGCGCCAACAGCTCCCCCCTCCCTGCCCCAGACCCTTCTTTGCAGGAAGTGTTCAGAAAGCCCTTGGGGGCCAAGGGTAGGGACCCAGAGCCATCTTTGAGCTCTTTCTTCATTTTCCCCCAGGTATACGGGGCATCCAATGTGGAACTCATCACCCGGACACGGACAGAGCATCTTTCAGAGCAGCACAAAGGCAAGGTCAAAGGTAATGAGGCAGAGGCACATGGGGGAGGGGGGAGGAACCAGCTTCCATCAGTGTTCCTCTGACATCCTAGCAAAAGCCAGGGTAGTTTATTCAAGCAAATAGGTTTCAATGCAAACGCCAAGTCCTAATGGTTGGTAGTGGCTGCCTAGAGTGCTACCAAGATGATTCTAAGGCAGCATTTGGGTTCAATGGGAAGGAATTGATTACTAATGTCTGCATGGGATTTGGGAAGGGAGAGATATGTCATGTATGCTCTTTCTTGGCCATTCTAGTCCAGTGAGACATACCCTAGGCAGAAAGTCAGGGGCTCTGCCATGATTCTCCGTGCCCGTTGATACCGCATTTGACTTTCTGGGCCTTTAGTCTGTCTAAAGTGGAGAGGCATAATTCCTACCCCATAGGAGAACAAACGGATATGGAAGTGCCTGAAAGAAAACACATACATACACATGCATACCCCAAAACCGCTCACCAAAAGCAGGTATTTTTTGTCCAGTGTTATCAACCTGGAGAGTGACACTTTTGGAAGTTTATCCTGAGCCCCAGGCCTACTTTTTATTCCAGCTGTACTTATAGTGGTCCTGGCCCCTGCCCCTGGTGTCTTCAGATACCTTTAGATGAAGGTGCCTGTATGTGTGGTGTGGATAAGCAGCCCCCCGACCCCCAGGAACCATCCTCCTGCTTAGGTCTTGAGTGCTATCACTTCTGAGGGCTGCAGTGTCCTCTGAGATGCTGCATTTCTTATAGGTTGCAAGACACCTCTCCAGTCCTTCTTGGGAATTGCTGAGCAGCATGGGGGCCCCCAAAATGGGGTGAGTGTGTGCCAGGGATGCCCCTCGGTGGAAGGGTATGGATGTGGCTCAGGAGAAGGCCTGGGAGGTGTCCTGCTTAGCATGGCCTGTGTGGATCTCTTTTCCACAATGCCCAAGACCGTGTCAGCTCCACAGTAGCACGGGGGACAGCTCTGGGCCATAATACAAATGGCTAGCCTGGCATCAGAGACTGAGAAGGGCTCATGGGACCCTCCCCATGTGGTACAGACCCTGATCACTCAGACTCTGAGCCAAGCCAACCCCACTGCCATCACCGCAGAAGAGTACTTCAACCCCAACTTTGAGCTTGGCAACCGTGACATGGGCCGCCCCATGGAACTGACCACCAAGACACAGAAGTGAGGCCCCCTGCTGGTCCTGGGGAGGGGTGGGCGGGGCAGGACGGGGGCAGGGGCACCAGAAGGTCCTAGGAGGCCATCGCTTCTACAATGTCCCTCACCCCTTGGGATTCTGGGGGGGCAGGTTCAAGGCCAAGCTGTGGCTGTGTGAGGAGCATCCCCTGTCCCTGTGTGAGCAGGTAGCCCCCATCATTGACCTCATGGCTGTCAGCAATGCGCTTTTTGCTAAGCTCCGGGATTTCATTACCCTGCGCCTGCCTCCTGGCTTCCCTGTCAAGATTGGTGAGACTCCATCCCCATTTCCTGCTGTTGTGGGGGTGGGGTGGGGTGGGGCTTAGATGAGGAAGAGTGGGGGTCTAAGCTGTGAGAGGGTGGGTGGTGGCACCTGATGGTTTCCTTGTCCTCAGAAATCCCGATCTTCCACATCCTCAATGCCCGAATCACTTTCGGGAACCTCAATGGCTGTGATGAGCCTGTCCCTTCCGTGCGAGGCAGCCCCAGCAGCGAGACCCCTTCCCCAGGCAGCGACTCCTCCAGTGTCAGCAGCTCCAGTTCTACAAGTGAGCCCTGCCCCCTCTGAGCTCGCCCACCCAGCCCCCTCACCAGAGCCCTCTGTCCCTTCCCCGGGAGCCACTCTGACCTCAGCCTGCCCTTAGCCTCCTGCCGTGGATGCGAGATCTCTCCCACCTTGTTTGAGGCCCCACGAGGCTACAGCATGCTGGGCGGCCAGCGGGAGGCCGCGACCCACGACGATGATGATGACCTTCTGCACTTTGCCATCCAGCAGAGCCTGCTTGAGGCGGGCAGTGAGTATGACCAGGTGTGTCCCCGAGGCTGCACTGGGTCACCGACTGCGGTGCTGCCATAGCCAACTGGCCCCACACCCTCTCCCTCTAGGTCACCATCTGGGAAGCACTAACCAACAGCAAGCCGGGCACTCACCCCATGTCCTATGAGGGTCGCCGACAGGACAGGTCAGTGTCCGCCAGGATTTGGAGATGCCTCCCCCTGTGCAGAGTACCCCAGTACCTGTCACAGAGGGTGAGGGCACTGCCCACTGAACAGCCCCTGTTGGCCCAGAGGAGCCGTGGTACCCTTGCCAGGGAGACTACTAGAATCAAGATGGTTTCTACCATACCCTTTCCTGACTCTAGGGGTGGGTGGGCAGTATTACAAAAGTGGCCCGGTGTAGAGGCCATCAAGGCCTCCAGACCCTCGCCAAGCAGGATGTCAGGGCCGGGGTTCTAGAAGATGCCCACATGTGCTGGCTGCTGTCCACTGGGAGGATGGGCTTTGTAGGGACTGGGATCTGCCACAACCAACCCGGTGGGAGTCAGAGAGGTGATGTGGGACTGGAAGGTGGCAGGCCTGCTCTGTCCTGGGGCCTCCACACTGGCTCCTGGCCCACTCACCAGCATTTAAGCCCCAGAGCCCTAGATGTGTCTTCCTTGCCACCAGGAGCACCCCGTCCACACCACAGCGCCAGCCCACCACCCCCACTGCGGTTCCCAGCCCTAGGCCCAGCCCGGGCCCTGGTAGCCACATGTTCCAGAGCTACGATGAGCAGCTGCGGCTGGCCATGGAGTTGTCCGCGCAGGAGCTGGAGGAGCGGCGGAGACGTGCACGCCAGGAGGAGGAGGAACTGGAGCGAATCCTGAGGCTCTCACTGACGGAGCAGTAGTGCCACTGTCGGGCCCTTGGCCACTCCACAAGAGCCCAGCACCGGACTGAGATGCCCTGGTCTGCGCACATGCTGCGCCGTGGCTGGAGACCAGAGCCACTGCCTCAGGGGCATAGGGACGCACCAGGCACCTGACCAGGAGGGGTTCAGCATGGCCGCAGGGTACCTTTCTGGGCCAGGCCCTGGAGACAGCTGGCACGGCCTGGTCCCCCTGCTTTGCTGTATCCTGACCCCCAGCCCTCTCCCCTGGGCCCGGGCCTGTCCAAGGTCAGAGCTAGGCGGTCCTGAGCGGGAGACGGTTCCTTAGAGGAGCAGTGTCCCCATTCTTGCGCCTTCTGGCTGGCCCTACTTTCTGCTCACTGACCCCACTCCAGGACACTGCCCGTGAAGCCTTTGCATTTCTGCTCTTCACCCCTGGGGGCAGCTGAGCTCCCCACGTGCTGCTTTGTTCCTGATGCAAACCAGCACGTCAAGGGCCCAGCCCCTCCCCCACCCTGGCATTTCAGCGTCAAGTGCACTTAGCGGGGTGCCTGGCTCCCTCAGCCCCCACCCCACCCCCAGGTCTCAGGGTGGTCCCAGCTTCAATTTGGGCGGCCAGAGGTTGGAGACCCCTTCCCTAAGACTTTTTTTGTGTGACCAGACCTGGGCAAGGCCTGGCTCCCACATGTTGTCTTGGCAAATGGGGGGGCATATTGGGCTGGGGTTAAGCACTAGACCCTACACAAGACTGAACACAGAAGGGTTGCCCAGGGCCCTGGCACCACCACCCACCCCTTCTCCCCAGCTGCTGCTAGCCCTCTGTGGTTGTGCGTCCTACTTGCCCCTACCCAGGGGCTGATTCTAAAACCCTTCATCCAATGGTGCTAAACCCCGG